TATTAGGGTTGACTGTCACATCAGATAAAATTAACGGAGAGTGACTAAACGTGAACCGTTTTACTAATTCGAGTGACTAAAATTGGTATTAGTTTTTTTCAGTGACTAAACATGACACGTTCTAGTAAACCGAGTGACCAAACTTGGCATTTACCCCATTGCAATACAATGCAATACAGTAAAGCTCAAGCAAGGTTGTCAACCACTGGTTGACCCGGATCCGGTCGAGCTAGTGGGTCAAGGGTTAATGCGTCACCAGTTTTAGCCCGGAAATATGGAAAAAGTCATTATATTGTACTTATCTTGATAAATTATATTAAATCTCATCTAACATATGAGTAATAACATATACCATTACACCAAAGTAACATGTCGTACTTAGAAAAAACATATAGTGAAAATTCACACACACTTATATAACCTCAATATTCAAATGTTCAACTAAGGATTCCAAAAATTGAGTTAGGCGAAAAGAAAATTCGAAAAATAGGCGCATTTCGCAGACTATACAAAAAAATGACACAATTTGACCTCCAACCCGATGTGGGATTTTGTCTGTTTTGGGACCGATCTCACGATTTTTGTCTTGGAGTGCATATTAAGGTGACTTCTTATAAGGTCATTTAAAGTTCTCACAATAACTCTTCAATTTCATCCGAAAACGTATTTTGTCAATTATGTTCAATTTCTTATATATTATGGATCTTTTTCGTATTCTATCTATGTGGAATTCGTCTCAAAGTGTTATATTTGATCCCCAATATATATTTTTTATAAGTTTATCTCCCAATTTAAAAGTACGGGCAAAGATTGGAAAAAGAGCTCTCAAAGGGAAATATGTTTATGCGAGTAAGTGGGTGGGCATGCGGCAATCCAAAGAAATAATCAACACAACCCGCTAATCAACACAACTTGCAACTTAAAGTACTTTCTCGATTGCCATAAAAAAAAAAGTAATTTCACGATTTCCTTTTCTATGTCTATTTTTTATCTAAACCTTTTTTAAATTCTTTTATATTATCCCAACCTATCGAAATATTAAGAATTAGCCAAATCTTAACTTTCAATTAGCAATTTTGTCAGTAATATTGACTTGGCAACATGATACTGACTTGAAAGAGACAAATGAAAGTCAACATTGCGAAATTTGGTATTTTAGCTACGAAAAGATTTACAAAATTATTTACGATAATGTAAAAATAGCTAATATTTTGATGCATTACAAAAGATTTGGCAAATTAATAGCATTTTAATAGGTTTGGGTATATAAAAGAATCTGAAAAAGTTGAGTCCAATGGGGACCCTATAAATGAGGCATTCTCTATAAATGAGGAAAAGTTGATTCCAATGGAGTCTCTCTAAATGGGGGAATCTCTATATTTGGGGACAATCTCCAAACGAATCTCCAAATTTGGGGATGGAAATGGGGATTCCCCCAAAAACGGGGAGGGGTGTGATGGTGGGTTGGACAACAATTAGCCAGCCACGTGGCTTTTTTTTTCTTTTTATAATTAGCGGTTAATTGGGGTTTAATTAGAAAATTAAGTAGAAGTTTAATTAGTTCAATAATTTTCAAGTGTTGTGTGTAAAGAAAAATTAGGGCAAACAATTTTTGCCAAAAAAAATTTGGTCTCGAAATTTTAAAAAAAAATTCAATCTGAAAATTTGTGTAACACCCTAACCCGGCCGGGTACTACTTTTACTAAAATGCCCTTGATAGATAAAATACTCAAATCTTAAATTGTAACTGGGAAAAATTTTCATAAACAAATTTCTGAAACCCACTCTTGTAGTTCAAAGCAACGCCCTAACACGTGGACAACTTAACTCAAACTTTAAAACCTCAACTTGATCTCCAGTCTATACTCATAATCATAAAACATAATAACTAACTAGTCTCAAGTGTTGCTGCTGGTGTGAAAAACTCTGAATAGACATCCTCTGTGACGCTCGTACCGTCCTCCTCTACCTAGCTTCACTCGAACTGTTTCTCTCGATCCCGCTGCTCTCTAACTACTCCTCTAGCTTCTTCCTCTTCAAACTGGTGAGTGAGTTGGGGTCAGTCTACGCCCTTACGTTTAACATCTTATTAATACTGGATCACTTTACTTAACTTAGTGGAAGTTGTTTTGTACCTCCACTATTAAAAATCTTGATTCTTGAAACTGTACTCTTAAAACTCAAATCTCCACTTAAATTCATGTAGCGTTCTATCGTGTTCTCCTTGCTTCTTTACTTTTACTACCCTTCTGTTGATACTTTGTACTATTTTCGGTCACCAAACTCTGTTGAGTATCTTCACGTTGTTGTTTTGGGTCTACGTTTCCAATAGTGGCTTGCCCTTGGTAGGCTTGAACATACCTCATCCACGTCATTTGTCTCAATTGATGCCTGCCTATGGCCTTAATCTCATAGTCTGGGTTCTTAGTGGGCTTAACTGAACGTGTCTTACTTATCCTTAACTAGTCGCTTCCTATGGATGACATCCTACTATGCTGCTCCCACCCAGAGTGGGGCACCTTAGGTAAGGTAACTCAATGATTTCCTCCTTCTTGGTAATGCTTTTCCTCGTCGTACTGCACTATGCATTTTCTTGAACCCGAGTCACCTACACATATTCTCAATCCTTCATCGAAACTTCCATGTGCTTCCTCGGATTCTCTGCCATTCACTAGAACATTTATTGAATGTTCCACTTACTTGTCTATACTCGGTTGGCTTAATGACTTACTCCTATAGCTAGTTTAGAGACTTCAACTCTTAGCCCTCTAGTTCCAACTTAGCAGTGAGGTTCCTCCTTCTGTTACCCCTCATGTACCCTAGACGGCTAGGTGCTCCCTCCATTTAGGATAGGACAATCCCATAACAGATCATCATGAACTCTTGCATACCCCTTCCAACGGTCCCAACATCCTCCTGACCTTTTGTGATCTGGGTAGTTTGTAGGGTCTCTACTATCCTCCTTCTAACTTGGTGTTATCTTGGTATCCAACTCACGCACTGCTGAGAAGTGGTTCTCTATTCGTACGGCCATTTACTAGCTAACGGTTATTCCCTCTCACATTCCATAACTTTTCTTACTTATTGACTCCCCGCTGTCTTCTACATGGCATGCTTTAGACTTTGGTGACACTTTCCTCCACGTCTCGTCCAATGGTGGTCGTACTAAAACCATAACTTGTCCCCTACATCATTTATCTCGTTGCTTGTCTTGTTTCTTTTAAAGGCTTGTCATCGGCCTAACTCCCCAGGGTCATATACCCTCTTCTGTAGTGACGTAGTTTATGTATAAGGGTTCCTTTGTCGTCATATGTAAATGACCATGCCTCATCTTCGCCTTGGCTTATTGACTTCTTGGCGTCCTTTCAGACCCCCTCTAACCTGCTTACTTCCTCCTTTACTTCATTTATACTACACTAGCTTCTCTTGAAGTCTAAGCTTTCCACTGCTCCTTGTCATTGTGTTGTCATGGCGTTGACCAATAAAACTAGTTGAGAGACTTCTCGAGGTACTTCGTTTCTTGACTCGCCACTGCTTAGGGTCAAGGACCCTAAAATTCTCCCATCATTTTAGCTACTGACATCTAGTGCTTGTAGCTCTTTCTTCGGAGGTTCATAGTTCTCCTATTTGTATATCTTAACCTATTAGATCACTTGTTAGTAGCTAAGTAGAAAAATCCTCGTAGTGTTCCTTTGACTCCTCTGATTCCTCGTACCTATACCTCGGGATAGAACTTTGCGATTGGCACACCCTTTTATTAGGACTAAAGTTATTTATCTTAATATGATTAGAGTAGACTGGAGATTCTATAGACACTTAAAAGGAGACCCTTGACTCATTTTCCTTTCCTTTGAAACAAAACCTTTAAAAACTGAGACCGACATTCCAATATTCCTTGGAAACCAAGGAATAGAGGAAGACCTACTCTGATACCAAAATGTAACACCCTAACCCGGCCGGGTTCAAATCTTAAATTGTAACTGGGAAAAATTTTCATAAACAAATTTCTGAAACCCACTCTTATAGTTCAAAGCAACGCCCTAACACGTGGGCAACTTAACTCAAACTTTAAAAACTCAACTTGATCTCCAGTCTATACTCATAATCATAAAACATAATAACTAACTAGTCTCAAGTGTTGCTGCTGGTGTGAAAAACTCTGACTAGACATCCTCTGTGACGCTCGTACCGTCCTCCTCTACCTAGCTTCACTCGAACTGTTTCTCTCGATCCCGCTGCTCTCTAACTGCTCCTCTAGCTTCTTCCTCTTCAAACCGGTGAGTGAGTTGGCGTCAGTCTACGCCCTTACGTTTAACATCTTATTAATACTGGATCACTTTACTTAACTTAGTGGAAGTTGTTTTGTACCTCCACTATTAAAAATCTTGATTCTTGAAACTGTACTCTTAAAACTCAAATCTCCACTTAAATTCTTGACTGACACGTGGATCCCTCACTAGCTAGTCCGGTTGCCAACTCATACGTATGAGAAGCCATTCAGGCTTTCCTTAAACTTAAACTTAGTTAGGGAAGTCGTAACGATTCATCCCCCTAACATCTTAAACTTATCGTGGTGCCTCTTCACCACGATTCTCAAGGGCATAACAACTGCCCATCTTAAAAGTCTCAAGAGCATAACTGCCGCTCTATCTCAAAATGTCTCAAAAGGCAACGGACTGGCGCTAGTGACTAAAAACACTTAAAACGACTTCACCTTCTTGAAGATGAGTTACTTCTTTAAAATAACTTGTTTCTTAAACTTTAACCATGACTCAAACATAACGCTTTAAGGTAAATAGCACAAAATCACCTCAAATCATAGCTCAAGCAAAGCACAAATAAGCAATTATAGACATAACCAAGCAACGGTAACCAATTCGCTAAAATACTCAAAATCATAATACTTAAAAGAATATGTAAGGCGTGGAATTTACCCCCTTTACACTCACCTCAAACTCAAGTCGCTTAGCTTGAACTAACTGCTGACCAGAATTAAATCCTTAGGATCGTCTCTCCTTGCTTGAATCATCCGCACTAGCTTTATCTGCTGCACCCTGCAAGAGGTCTGACAAGCTCTCCATCATCTTTTTCCTAGCGCCAACCCTCTTCCTTATCTCTTCAAGCACATTCAATCGACTTAATGACTCAGCTTCAACCTGATTGAGCGAATGAAGTTTCCCTTCCAGAGCTTCCTTCTTCTCTCTAGCTTCCTTAAGAGCAGAGGAAAGGTTCCACAATCGCGCGAATTCCTGCTTGTAATCCCCACATTCGATCAATTTCACTCTCACCAATTCGCTGCTGCTTTTTCTTCCCTTCGTTGCTGTCGTTCTTGGCTCTGAAGAGAGACTGTGGCCTGTTCCATCAATAACTCGAACAAAAAAAATGATTCTCGCGTTCAAGAAGAGGTCATAGCCTGACCTCATCATAGCGCACGATCTTCAACGATCTGTGATTGTTGATGCCCACTCGATCGGCCTACTTTTCTTCCGTACCAGCTGACTCCCCCACGACTAAGCCTGCACTCACAGAGGTGGGCCTCGTGGCCCGTTAGTCCTCCAACGCTCAAGTCAGTAACTTTCTTAGTGAGAGAAGTGCTTGCAATGCACAATTTTTAGTGAGAGAAGCCAAATTCAGTAAATGCTTACCAACCCGGCTATTTATAACTGTTCGTCACTTACCTGGATCACTACGTACGGGTTTCCACGTCATCACCGCATTTAATGCGGGTGACTCCCGGGCGCCCACTTCGGGCGCTCATAATCTTTCAAGTGCACTCCAGGCGCCTAACAAGCATCCCCACCGCAGGGCCTCGAGTAAGCCCACCGCAGGGCCTCGAGTAAGCTCTGTCTTATCTTGGGCTGCTTAGACCATGCCCTTCTTACTGGGCTTCGCCCATTCATCTGGGCCCTCTTATTCGAACACCCCCAACAATTGCCCCCCAGTTAGGTGCTCAAGCTCAGGATACCTTGAGCGCCTAACTACAAGGCTCCTAATTCCCTCTAATTACCTTCCCTGCCGTGTCAGCCACTTGCCCCCCCATTTACCTACTCGCTTCAACCGGCGCCTCAAGCCCGCTCTTTAAAACGGACGTCCCCCTCCAATCGATATACACCGGCGCCCCCACGTTCCAAAGGCGCCCTGGAACTCGCTTTTTCTCGGAAAATCATACCTCCCCTTTATCTTTGATACCGTTAAAATTTCGAGATCCCCCGGGCGCCTTGGCCGCTCCTCTCTCTCCGGGGCGCCTCGCCTAATTATTTGCACTACCTGAGCGCATTACAGTTGCACTCCAAAAAAGGCTCCTCGTTCTTCTTTATTAAGCGTTTGAATCCGCCCCCAATTGCCATTGCCCCTTTTATTATCTCTCTAGGCGCCTCTGTTCCATCTTCTCTGTATACCGCTGAAGGCGCCTTGGTGCCGCCCCTCGCTGCCCCCCTCATAATCGCCGATTGGAATTTTCGATCGTGCGATTGTGATCGGCCACGTGGCGGGAGGCACGAATATCGAGGCGCTAACTTTTCTCTCTTTAAAGGAGAACGATTTCCCCTATACAACCCTCATTCTCTCTATTCTCCTTCTCACTCTAGCCTCCCCCTTTTCTTGCTGTGCTTTCTCTCTCTACGCTCTGTGCGTGCTTCTCTTACGAGGAAGGAATGTCGAACTCCCCCGCTGCTGATGCCGCCGCCGCCGGCGAGGTTTCATCGAAAAGTCAAGGCGCCCCGTCCAAACGTGGTAAGAAACCCCCCTTCGCTATTTATTTTTTTTATTATTTTTTTTTTTTGAATCGCTAGAGGCGCTGCTCACCTACCCCCGATTATGTGCGCCTACTTGAATTGTTTAGTGGGGGCGCCTTCGCTGTCTACCATGCCTGCGCCTACGTCAGACTATACCGTGCCGGCGGATGAGTCATACAAGGTGACGTGGTGGGAGAACACTTGGCCACCCGAGTACGCGCCCTGGGAAACGACTTGCCTTCCTTCGAACGTGGCAGGGCCTAGACACAACTCTACTATGTCGGAGGCTTGGATGCGCAGCCTTATTGCAGGGCTCCAGCTCCCACGCACGTGGACCTACGCGCCTCCCTCTCCTATTGCTAGGGTCGGGCTTTGTGGACCCAAGTGGTTGGGCATCTATCAAGAGTATTTCCGGTTTGGGCTCCGTTTTCCTATTGATCCTATCTTGGAGGGGATTTTAGATCTCTGTGGATGTACTATTGGGCGCCTATCCCCCTCAGTGATGCTGATAGTGGTGCTGTTCAAGTTGAAGTGTCGGACTCACCACGTGCGCCCTACATTCAACCTGTTCCGTCATTTCTTCACCGTGGTACCACGAGACAACTGCCTGACTTTGAAGCGTCGCAAGAAAGTGGGCGCCCAATTTGTGAAACGGTGTCCCAAGTTGGGTCGCTCTTGGTTTACTGGCTTTTTCTTCATGAAGGCGCATAGGGACTTCTTTTTTGAGAGTGGTGGTGCCTTCAGAACGGATTGGGAGCATGGAGATGAGAGGCGTTTTAATGCTCCTGTCAGACTTAGTCGAGAGGAAAGGGAAGGCGCCGCGCTCATAAGCGCGTCTCCCGTTGATTTGCGCCCCACTAGTGCCCGCGAGCCCGTTTTAGACGAATACTATCGAGATGGTGTGTTAGGCGCCTTACTTGCTTACTTCCCCCTTTAGGCGCCTGTACTAATGGTTATGTGATTTGTTTGCAGGTACCAACTTCTCGCGCATTGCTTCCTTGATACAGGGCCGGTACGCGAAGATGACGCAAGAAGTGCCCCTCGCGGCCGCCGCTACCCATGCTCAAACATCTCCAGCATCTGTTTCGACTCACCAACCTACGGGCGCCCCTACGGCCGAGGAAGCAGATCAGGCACCTAAAGAGAGGCCCGCCAAGACCTCAAGTGTGGCGTCCACGCCATCGGAGGTGGAGGCGCCTGAGGATGTACTTGTAGCTGATGCCACCGATGAACAAGGGGAGTCCGAAGACGACATGCCCTTGCTACCCCGCGGGAAAAGGGCAGGCGCCCACTTGGTCAAAAAAGGTAAGCAAGCCCGTCTTGCGGAGGCGCCTGATGCAGGAGCTCAGGGCAAAGGAGGCGCTCAACCTCGCCGGTTTACTATATCGGCCGGGCGTTTGCTGGGGCGTGATGGGAAGCCGCCCATGATTCAACCGCGGCGCACCGAAATGGAACGTATTGCCTTGTCGTGCTCTCCGCGAGCGGCTGTGGATCGCGGATGCGCCATGGGCCTGGCCCTCTCGGCCTCAAAATTACTGCAGGTGCCTTCTGAGATTTCGGAGAATCACCCTTGGGCTGAAGTGGCTTGCATGGGGGCCAAGGTGCATTTTCCCACACTCCTACTCTTGATGTTTCGTTGATGCAATCTTTAACCATAGACGCCTTCTTTTTGTTGTTACTGCGGGTGCCTCTCTTTTGACCATTGTTATTCCATTACTGTGGGCGCCTTACTATTGCAGATGCTTCTTCTCGCCGAGGCAGGCGCCCGTAAGACAGATGTTGCGGTTGAGGAGTGCCGCGAAGCAAGGGCGTCTCTATCTTCCATGAAAGATAATCTGGAGACGGCGACCACCCGCCGCGAGCAACTTATCAAAGAATGTGAGGAGGCCCAATTGGAGGCGGCCAAACAAATCTCTACTCTTCAAAGCACCCTGGAAGAGGAGCGCCGCCAGCGGGACGTCGACTTTGCCACCCGCATGGCGGAGGAGCGCCAAGAATTCGACCTGAAGCTGAGCGCCTTGACTGCTGAGAAAGAGGCGCTGACACAAGAGTTAGGCGCCCGTGACAAGGAGCTGGCTGCTTTGAAGGAGGAAAAGAGCTCCCTCCAGGATGATTTGAAGGCGGCCGCCTACCGCCGAAGAGACTATAAGAAGGCCTTGAGGAGTGCACGAGAGGAGAAAAGGGCCCTCAAGGCGTCTCTCAAGAACTTCCCCAGTTCAGAAGCAGGGCAGGACCTGATTGCTAAAGCGTCGCTGGATAGCTTGGTGCTTGCCAAGAGGAAGCTCGATCAGGAGTACCCCGACGTCGCTGTTGACTTCCCCGATCTTGTAAACTTTGTGATTGAGGAAATGCAGAACGAGCAAGAAGAGGCCGAGGATGGCGCAGCGCCCGAGGGAGATGAAGAGAGCGAGTCTTCGATGGGAGATGTGTCGTCAGAGGCAGAGTAGTTTAGGCGTGCCTCTACTTGTGTACTATGGACCCTGGTTGTGGGTGTTATTTCTTTTTTCATAAACTTGGGCGCCTGTTATTCGGATGTTTGCTTTGTCGTTTTGCACCACTTGTTCAGGCGTGCCTCTTTCCATGCTTTGTCAACTTATGTAGCCACCTGGGCGCCTAATTTGCTTGCGCTTGTCTAGACGTTACCTTTCTTTGGGCGCCTTAATTTGATTGTGTTATATATCGCTTGATTGCCTTATATAGGCGCGCTGCTGGCACAACTATGCAACTTTCAACTTTTCCTTTGGGCGCATTATCTGACTGGGGCGCTTTACCTACCTGGGCGCAATTTTACGGGCGCTTTCAATTCTCGTATTCTTTGACAATTTGGGCGCATACTTTATGGTCGCTTTCACTTCAAGTATCCTTTTGTGATTCGGGCGCATATTTACGGGCGCTTTATAGATGTGGGCGCATATTTTTCGGGCGCTTTTACTTTCTTTCTTTGGGCGCGTTACTTACTTGGGCGCATTATTTGTCGCTTGGGAACGTGTTCACCATCCCTCCATGAACTCGCAAGAGGCCTTTTCATTAACACAAACAGGGGCGCTTAAAACGATGGGCGCTTTGGTTACACGATACGAGCACATATTTCACGGGTGCTTTGCAATTGTGGGCGCATTTCTTACTCGGGCGCATTAGTGGAGAGGAAATCATTCTAGGGAGTTTTTTCATAAACACAAACACAGGCGCCTTAACACGACGAGCGCTTTGATTACACGACACGAGGCGCTGAACACAACAAGCGCTTTTGATTACACAGCACTACATACTCCCGCAGGCGTTCCCCTTTTGCTCCTCATACTGCAGCCTCCTTGCCCCCCGGTTGGGCACAATACGCACGCAAGTTCTGTTCGTTCCATGTTCGCTTCACTGGCTTCCCATTCAGATGTTCCAATTTGAACGTAGCCGCTCCGATGACTTCCTTCACTCGATACGGGCCTTTCCACTTGGGAGCCAACTTGCCCTCCTGCGCACAGGGCCTGAAATCTCTCTTGAGGACCAGAGCGCCTATGGAGATGCCATGAGGGCGCATTTTTCTGTTGTAGTACCGGGCGACTTGCCTCTTCATTTCTTCCAGGCGCACAGACGCGACCTCACGTCGCTCATCAGAGAGATCCAGATCAGCCACCCTGTCTTCTTCATTTCGGCCTGGTTCATCATTCGCCACCCGGAAGCTTGGGATATTAATC